GTGGTGGCACATGCCTGTAGTCCCAGCTACTCAGGAGCCTGAGGCAGGAGGATCACTTGATCCCAGGGGTTTGAGGTTGCTGTGAGCTAGGCTGACGCCACAGCACTGTAGCCTAGGCAACAGAGCAAGACTCTGTCTCAAACAAAAAAAAATTCATGGCTGAGAAAGCTGCTTAACTTTTGGGTCCTTAAAATCTCTTATAACTCGAGTGTTTTAAATATGACACATAATCAAATACCTTTCTGAGATTATTTTACTCTACACAAGAGACCCCAGGGGTGGTTCCTTGCTCACAATCCAGCTTTTATTTTTAAAACTTACTCTTAACCCAGTAAGTCCAACAATACTAAAACAGGAAGTGTTTTAAATGATGGAAGGGAGGTTAAAGTTTTTTATAGAACAACTACTTATAAATGTAGAACAAAAGCTAGAAACTGAAAAATCATCATTTTACAATTACCATAGTAATACTGGGATTCAAGCAAGAAACACTAATGAATATTGAAACTGCTAGATAAAAGATTGTGTGAATATCCCATTCCCTAACAATCTTAAAATAACACCCTTCAGCCCACTATTCTAAAGGGAAAAAGCTCTGTACTCAATGGAGATACCTGTGAGACCCTACCCTCATGAATGAAACAAACTGACAGCTGGAGGACACAGCATCACCAATGTAGCATTCCTGACAAAACTGTACCCTCAATCTAAATATGGGAAATCAGACAAATCTAAATCCAGGAAGAACTATTCTGTAAAACAATTGGCTTGGACTCTTTAAAAATGCCAATGTCCTTCATTTTAAGTCCCTTGCATCAAGATAGGAAAAAAAACAATGCAAATGTCCTAAAAGATCAAAAAAAAAAAAAAAAAGGAAGGAGAACTAAAGGTAGTACATAATCCCATACTTTGAAAACAAAAAAGCTCTAAAAAGGACATTATGGACAAATAGGGAACTTATGTTAAATTTCCTGAGAATGACACCTATATTGTGTGTGTACACAAGAGAATGCTCTTGCTCTTAAGAGATAGATGCTGAAGTATTTAGAAATAAAATGTTATGTCTTTAAACTTACTCTCGAATCATTTGGGGGAAAAACATATGATAAAGCTGAATGTGGGGAAATATTAAAATTGGTTAATATAGACAAGGGGTATGTGGGCAATTGCTACACTGTGACAATTTTTAAAAATAAGCAGCTGAGAAAAGCAACAAATGAAAAAGAATAAAGCAAATTCTATCCCATTAAAATCTTTCAATTTTATATGAACTGTATAGTATATGACTTATAAAAATAGTAGACAGAGCCTAGTGCAAAATAAGCAAGCCTACCCTTTATGTCACTCAGAGAACTGGGACCACCATGAGACTGGTCTGCCTCATATACAGCCCTCCAGAAGTCCTGCTGTGCCATGCTGGAGGCCTGGCCTTCATTTTGCAGACTTAGGGCCAACATGAAGTCCAAGTTTGCACTATCTTCACCACCCTCTTTGGGGGGCTGTCGGCTTCTATTCCTTTCCTGCCTTTCTTGTTCTTCAACTGGAAAAAAAAAAACACCAGCACTTAAGATACATTAGAGATGTTGCCACCCTCAAGTCCATGCCTAGCAAATAGTCAAGGTTTACAGGCATCTGGCCAGGAACAAAAATTGCCCAGCTCTGCCAGTATTCTTGGCCCTCTGGTTCTCATAGGTCCTGAACATTAAATCTGCAATGAGAAAAGGCTCATTATTCTATTTGTATTATTAATAATCAACACTACTGAGCTATAATTATGAAACAAGCACTGACTGTGCTTAACATTTTACATTTATTTTTTGCATTACAGCAGAATGATTTAAAGCATGAGGTCAGATTATCTGAATTCAAATCTCAGCTCTACCATTTACCTACCCTCATATAACCTGTGACAATTAACTGAGTTATTAACATGTACAGCACTTTGCAAATGCCTGTGGCACATAAGGTACAGGCAAGCATATCAAATCCAAAATTTGAAATACTCCAAAATCCGTAACTTTTTGAGCACAACATGACACTCACAGGAAAAGCTCATTGGAGCATTTCAGACTTTCACATTTGAGATGCTCAACTGGAAAGTACAATGCAAATATTCCAAAATCCAACAAAATACGAAATCTGAATCACTTATCCCAAGCATTTCAGACAATGGATATTCAACCTATACAAGTGTTAGCTATTTACAGCATTGTCATTGTCGTCATCGTCATCCCTAACTGAAAACCATACCTTCAGGGATCATTTCTACAGTTTGTTACTAGGGAAGTTTCTCTGAACATGTAGAGCACTACTGAGGGGAATTAAAAAACCCTAACTGGAATCCAATAGTAAAGAGGTCCTGTTATTCCCATTTTATAGGCAAATGAGATATTCTTTCCAATGTTACCCAGCTGTAGTCAGGTTTCAATATCAAGATCTAGCCCCAAAGCCCTATTCCCATTTGCCCTGGGATTTTAATACCATTCCAGTTTTCTAATCCCAAGCACAACTCACATAGATTATTCTGAATTGGAAACTGAGCTGCCATGTTCCTTTGGTTGGTAGTCCTACTGGGGAAAAGGTCTGATTCAAAGGGTCTCAGTGGCCTTCGTGGTAGCCTCATGGGTGGGTCCAGAGTCTCAATTTGTCTGAGGAGTTGGGATGCGATCCACATTCCATCTTGACGCCAAGACTCATCATATGCATTAGGAGGTATGGCAACCTCATTTCTCTTTTCCTCTCCCTCTCGCCCACAAACTTCAGGGTGAGTCTTCAGATCTTTAACAAGGACATTGCGCCCACAGGTGCCACATAGCTCCGTCCGGGCACCACAGTAATCTTCATGCTCCTTCAGCTTGAGAATGGAAAGTTCCAAATCACAGTGCTGGCAGAGAGCAAGCCGCAGAGGGCACTCCGTCTCCTGCAACACAAAGTAATAAGGCAGTTAGTATGCACATCTAGGAGAGACTGTGTTTTAGTAACGGGCAAGGAAAGCAAAAAGTATCTACTTCAATCTTCTCTGCCAACCCTAGCGTCCTGTCATGCTTTTTTAAGAGTCACAACTTACCCTTTTGTTCCTGCCACAAGGTTCTACAAAGGGAAGGAAAATCTTAGAAGAAATCTAGTCTGCCACCTGACTATCACGTCATTTTGTGCACACATTACAAAGTAATCCAAAATCAGTCAGAGAAGCCGAGGACCAAATAATAAGCAGCATATCAAGTTAGTCATGTTTGTCAAAGCTCCACCAGTTTCCCCTCACCATTACTCCAATTCAGTCTTAAGTAGCTGGTAAGAAGGAGATTGTCCTTTAGAAACACACAGACTTTTCTACCTTTATATTTGTATTAAGCACTGGCTTTAATCAGACCAAATACACCAAGAATCACCAATGAAAATGACCCCCAAGAGTATAAACATACTCAGTACAGGACAAAACCTTTCTACTTAATAGGAAATAGTCACTGACGGACTAAATACATTAGAAAGATATAAAGGAATATGTTTACTGTGACATGCACATTCCAAAAATTGGGAGCTTCAATTTAGAACTTTAATGTAACATCACCTCAAAAGTTTAGATACTTTATAACCACTGTGCCAAAGAGCAAAAATTTTTCATACAAATTAAACTCAAGTTCTATTCTAAATGCTGCTCCGAACATTTTCAGCAGTGTTTGTATATGCATGAAATACCTTTTGCAGGAAACACAAACTGATGAAAGAGGCCTAGGTAGCTGAGGAATGAGGCAAAAAGACACAATTTTGTACATATATTCTCTTTTGTGGCTTTAAAATTGTACACCATGGGCCGGGCGTGGTGGCTCACGCCTGTAATCCTAGCACTCTGGGAGGCCGAGGTGGGAGGATCGCTCAAGGTCAGGAGTTCAAAAGAGGCCAGCCTGAGCAAGAGTGAGACCCCGTCTCTACTGAAAATAGAAAGAAATTAGCTGGACAACTAAAAATATATAGAAAAAATTAGC